TCTGCTGAAAAACATGCCGTCGGTGGAGATCCTCGATGTGGTCGGCGTGGTTGAAACTTATCCTTCCGCGTAGAGCGCTATCCTGGACTGAATTCTTGTCGTGTGTCGCGATGATAACCCAGCATATCCTAGAAGGGAAGATCCATCTCCTCGTGCGGCGATGTTGTGGCGGCGCCCTCAAGACGGCTGGAAAGCTAGCGCCGCCGTGTGTGTTTATTAGGAGTGTCTAGAGTTCCGTCTGGACGGAACGATATCAGATGCGGAACTAGAGCAGTCTGGTAGAGATCCGTCCAGATGGAAAGATAGCACGTGCAAAATGGGTGGCACTGTAGCCGCTGAAAAAACAAATGTGGTGGACGAAACGCCGCTGGTTTAAATGGAACGGGTCTACCTTTCCATGGGTGCAATGGGGGACAACGGGGCTTGGTCCATTGGGGAGCTCACACGAACCGGCTTGTACGGGGAGCCAAGCGGGTTAACATTTTTGTAACTAATAGCCCCCCTCACGCTGCGTGAACGCAAGCGTGGGGGAGGGGGGGGGGGGGTTAACGTGCTCCCAGGGGTACACACGCCGCCCGAAACTGCCAGGAATTTCGCTGTGACTGTTGGTTCTGCTTGGACGAAACTCTAGAGCTGACTGTGGTTCCGTCTGGAAGGAACCCTAGACACAGCCTTGTTCATTTCAACTACAGTGGGGCTTTCTTAGCATTTGTGTCCTCGAACATTGCCCGGATTCTTTGTCTTCCGCATTCTAAGTGTGGGTTCAAGTGCAAGATCTGACTGGTGCGTACTGTGTTTAACGGCGTTTAGAGTGGATACGAACATGACGCGTTTTAATCACCCGAGAAAAGTGAATATTGCCAGCATTCCTAAAGGCTCGCTACGTCTACGTGATAACGAAAACACTTTTCAACGTTGCAATATCGCTGTTAAGATTACATCACCTTTTGCAATCGTAGAAAAGACGTGTGGCGAGATTACTTCTATCGATAAAGTCGTCTGTTAAAAAAGTGATCGTCCAAGACGGTGTTCTGCATCTTTGCTTTTTTTATCATCCCACTCTGCCCTGGAATTCCAGCCTCACAAAATAAAGTTTAATGAAGTCTGAGCCCATAAGAAAAGCTTTGTCCACTTTCCGCTGTACCAGTGAGTGGCAGCGCGCCACCTCCTTGTTAGAGGCACCGCGGAAACCGCTTACGGCGGCGGAGACGCGGCCGCCGTGCAGACGGCCTGCTACGCCGCTTACAGTGGTCGCAAGAGTGTGTACGCGCGGTGCACAACGGTTTTTCTGATCGCTTCGGTCACAACGGACTCAGCTGTAGCTAATGCGCTCGTTTCAAGTATCCCAAATATAATTTGTGTAATCCGGAGCTCGAAAAAAACAACAAAAAAACTGCAGTTTAAGCGCTCGCCAGTCGAGGAACCACGTCGAAGCACTTTGTGCAGGCTCATTGGTTTGAGGGACCCCAGGTCTAAGGTCATGCATGTATGCTCGGAACATTCCGTACATTAGATTCGCCACTCCTTATCGTCCGAATCCGGCAAAGAACTGGAATCTTCCTCGGAAAACTCGCCGCTATTCCCAACAAGCTTACCATCGCATGGGACCAGTCCCATGCTGTGGCTGTAGCGCAATATCTCTAATTGAGTTTCGCTAAGCTGGCGCCGATTCAGAAAATATGTCGGTGGCATCGGCGCCATAACCGCGGTAAAATCCTGTCACTCACTGGTAAAACCTACTGGCACACCTCCAGCTTGTCGCTTACAATCCCAATCGCCTACTGCCGAGAGAACTTTCAAACTCAAAGTTTATTGAATTCTCTTCACAATAGAAGAGAGGGAGGAGGGGAAAAAGCAGTACCAATCTGCTTGACAGAGCCCGCTCCTCCTTCAATAGCAACAGCAGCGGAACTTTTTTTAGGAATATTAAAAACAACAGCAAAAGAAGAACAAATTTTCGCGCATATAAATTATCCAATAATCTATTCCACTCAATATAAAATGTACTGCGAGTCTCAGCCAAAAATAACGTATTGTATTGCCCAGAAGAAAAATGAGCTAGGCATCACCGAACGCTCGTTCTTGATTCAAATGCAGCGCTAATGGTCCGAACTAGAGTTTAGTTCGAAAAAGGATCGGCTTGCTTGAGACACCGTATCAACTAAGACTGGAGGACAAACAAAGCACTGCCAAGTGCTTTTCTTTTTGATCGGAACTTATGCAGCGTCTCAAGAAGCTCGCGCGCCCTACCTTTTGAAGTGCTTTCTTTCACCGAGTCTCAGCTGAGACGCTGTTCTAGGAAGCCGGTGCTGGTGTTAAAGTTTGAGCAAAGTTGAATAGGAAAACGATGCCCGTGTTCACTCAGTTTTGTTAAATTTAGTGATTCAGATCCACGTGTTTCACATCTCCATCGGCCAAACTTCACCCAATGAAAATCAGAAAATTACTTAACTACTGCATAAAAGAAACAGTTTGTGCTGAAACGTTTGCTTCGGGTTTTGAACTCTAAGGCTAAATTTGGACAGGAAAAGGGCTTTCGGCAAAGCATAATTTAATTTTTCTGTGAAAACAATGGAATTATTTTTTTTTGGGAAGAACCTAAAGTGTAGCTCAATGTTGTAATTGTGGCAGGACCGTGGATCCCGCTATCTTCGCACTGGAGTGGCAGGAAGCGTAGATCGCGCGACAGGAAACGTTGCTGTGAGGGACGAGCTTCCCCAGCTGCTATTCTCTTCAGCAACACCTATTGAAGCAGTTGTTTTGCTGCTAAAAGTCTAACGCTTCAATGAGATAAGACTCACATTGCATGTTCCGCATATGTTGCATTAGCACGATACCAACAGCCAATCTTGGAAGGTGCGCCGGTAGTGGGCTCGAAGTTCCGTGAATGTTCGAATTCTATTCGAACCCGATGATACATTTCGGTTACCTGAGCATCTTTTGGAGTACATCTTTGAAAAGCCTACACGTGTTGGATCGGCCACTCATTCTGAAACGTACACGGGGTTTGTAAAATAAACCTGTTATGCCTACATGCAACGCTCATTTAATATTTAATTTAATACCACCCCCCTCCCGTTCCTTCGACGAGCACAGCCTGGGGTACTATCCTATACTGTACTTGGATGAGTACATGCTGGACTGGGCTAATACAAAGGCCACAGTGCAGACAGCTTTGGTGCACGTTGAATGGTTGGATAACCAGCAACCTTGGGTTTTTCCGCATTGAATTGGGAGTGGCAGGAGGCGCTACCTATATACACGGAAGTCGCGGTCGTCAAGCATTCGCGCAGGTGGCAGAAGGGCACGCCGCAAGACGTTCCGGTGATGCACGTGTTTGCTCAATAAGTGTTGTAGCTTGTTCCCTAAAAAAATTGAGAGCAAAAATTACTTATCTCCGGCGTGGCGAGATGTCCAAACCACAGAGAAGATATTGCCGCAGTAGGCGCGCCGTCGAATGCAAATGAGCAGCGTAGTATGAATTTCGCCTAGTCGTGCTAGGCTTCAAATTATTATACCGTTTGTGGTCACATTAGAAAATTGCCAAATATTCATTGATAGATGATTCAGTTTCTAAATTAACAAAAAACAATACAAGCACCAGCCATACCTACACTCTGCAGTGTACGTGTTCGGTATAAATATCGAGCTTGTAATTATTTCATACTGTAAAGGACTTTTTTTGCGGGCTAATACCTTTTCCGAAAAGAACTGCAACAAAGAAATGAGATAGTTCACCAAGAGCTTCAGAGGAGAGATATCCTTCTGCAGAGTATGCAACAAGAATTCCAAAAACGAGATATTATCCGAGCAGAGAAATTCGCCAGTCTAGCGGCTGGACAAACACAACTCGAAAAGTCATATAGCAGGCTCAAACCAATCCTTAACTCGCTTATAAAGAAACCATCAAACCCGGACACGAACTCGGTAGAGAGTCCCTGCAAAGTAACTATCCCTGACGTCAGCACCCAGAGTACACCAACAACTATGCGATAAGAATAATTTCAACCAGCCGCAGAAAAGCAACCCTAACAATGTGCTATCAATATGGCAGTGGAATTGTCGAGGACAAGGAAAAAGAACGGCTTACTCAAACAATACATTCAACAAACAATAAAAGCACCTGATATCATTCTAATACAGGAGAGCAATGGCTTAATGAACATGCCGGGCTACAGCTTATTCAGTCAACCTAGCATACAAAAAGTCAAAGGAAACAACCCAGGTAACACTGCTCCTCAAGGAAAAGTCGCTACATATATACATAAGAGGCTAGACGCTACCCAAATGAACACCACGAACCTAAACATAGAAGAGCAAGAATACGTGGCTACCAATATTAAAATCACAGATTCAGAGCTCGTAATGCTAAACGCATACTGGGTTCCTAATAAATCACACAAGAAATGGAATGACTTAGATCGATTAATTCGCGAAAAGAACAGGCACCCCTTACTTATAGCGGGGGACTTTAACAGTCCTCATGCCAGTTGGGGATACGCCTACACCTCGCCCAATGGCAGGAAGCTAGAATCAGTCATGTCTAATAGGCAATCAACCCTCATGAACGACTTCACATCTGCCACACGACAAGGTAACAGCATAGAAAGAGATACCATTCCAGATTTAGCTTGGTTTAGAGGAAAACTCACCTGCGAATGGGAGAACCTCTTAGAAAGTCTAGGTAGTGATTACTACATTCTTTACATAACCATTCAAATCCGTAGAAGAAATAGAAAAAAATGTCAAAGGTACGAAAATAAAAATCACCAAATGGGATCAAATGAGAAAAGAACTAAAAGAATCTTTGGAGAAAGAACCACACATGAACTGGCACCAAGGACTGAATTTCATACGTAATAGCTATAAATATAACACGAAAGACATCCTGAGCAACAAGGACGCGCCATATGTCGATTCCCATCTTCTCAATTTATGGGATAAGAAAAATAAACTCTGCAAAAAAAACAAATAGAGGCCTGAAAAAAGCCATTCAGATAATGACGGAGGAAGCCTACGAATACGCGAACAAGCTAGCAAATGAAAATTGGCTAACAACATGCGATCAACTAAATGGCCGACTGCATACTCGTAAAGTATGGCAGATTCTTAGAACGCTACTAGGACAGTCTAAAACAAGACATACTACAACTAAACTATGTCTTCACTATCAGAAAGGACCCAAGGAAATATCTGAAAAATTCGCAAACAAATTTTATCCTACCTAAAATGCTGCTCCATCCTCGGCAGTCGAGACAGAGGATAATTGCGACGAAGATGCTGAGGGTATTGATTCACCATTCTTGGAAGAGAAGCTACGGGTAGCCTTAAACAGCTTCAAACGCAACACCACCCCCCCTGGAGAGGACGGTATAACGTATGGGATGTTAAAAGATCTACCAGGTGAATATCTATATCTCCTACTTGAGGAAATCAACAGGGTATGGAACGAGGGCAGTTTACCGCCTCAATGGAAAGAGGCACTCATCATCCCATTCCAAAAACCAGGGAAACAGCCCAACTCTATTACAAACTTTAGACCCATATCCCTAACATCGTGCGTAGGAAAAATAGTAGAAAAGATGGTTCTCAGAAGACTGGAATGGCACAAGGAAAGCCAGAATATCCTCCCAGAAACCATGATAGGATTCAGGAAACATGTCAGCACGCAAGATACAATGTTACAAATTAAACAACAAATTTTTGATAATCCAAGTTCGGTGCAACTAAGGACGGTTGCAAGGATTGATATGAGCAAAGCGTTCGACGGGGTTTTGGAAACCACCGTACTAAACAATCTAAAAGAAATTTATCCCGGTCGAAAAATATATAACTACATTAAAGAATTTCTCTCGAACAGGAAGGCCAAGATTAAGCTGGACGACTTTACCTCAGACAGCCACCCTATCACAAGGGCAACCCCGCAGGGCTCTATCCTCTCCCCAACACTCTTTAAAATTGTAATGAAAAACCTACCTAAACAGCTGAACCTCATACAAGGACTAGAACACAGCATATACGCAGATGATATCACAGTATGGACGACAACAGGGTCTCCTGGAGAACACGAAGAAATAATGCAGAAGGGCATTATTTCTTCGTGCTCTATTGGACTAACTTGCTCAGCCGAAAAGTCTGAATACGTCGTGATTACCCAGGACACAACCAATAGAGCATCTGAGTACAGAGGAATGATAAACCTAACGATAGATGGGAAACCATTATACCGGAGAAATTCTTTAAGAATACTCGGATACCTACTACAAAATGACGGCAAATTCAATCTTACCATAAGTAAGCTAACAAGACAAATAGAGTAAATTCTTGCCATGTTACGGAGAATTACCAGACAAAAGAGAGGCATAAAAGAACACGAACTGCGTAAAGTTATCGAAGCGCTAATATAATCCAGAGTAATGTACCACTTGCCATACATGACACTAACCAAAACACAGCACGCCAAACTAGAAACAGCACTCAGAAAGGCCACCCGATTGGCGGTAGGGGTACCCAGATACGCAGTCAACCATAAAGTAGAAGCCACAGGACTCTTTAACTCACTAGATGATAGAATAGATATACACAAACTTGGGCAAGAACAAAGGCTAAAAACCTCAACCTAAGGCAGGAAAATCCTTCAAAACCTCGGCTACGATGTAACAAACCTTCACTCCATCCCTTTGGAAGCCCCGCCTTGGGACCAACTCCCCAGAATTATAGTTGACCCAATCCCTAAGAATACGCATCAAACAAGAGATATATAGAGAAGAATAGATAGGGTCAAACGCCTCCAGAACGAGGAGGAACACTCAAATGCAGTATTTTATTATACAGACGCCAGCTACGACACGGAGCACTGCGCTATTGCGGTATGGAGCCGGAATAAAACACTGACCCGCAAGTATCAGGGAGCCCCAACGCCCATGCACGCCGAGTTGCTAGCAATAGCAACAGCCATAACTGAACTCATGAAATATGAAAAAGAATCTATAATTAGAACCAATAGCCAAGATGCCTGCAGAGCTATCCTGAATAACGATTTACCTACATACATTCACAACACTCTACAACGACACATGCATAGCTACCCACTTCTAAAGATCAAGATCCAATGAGTTTCAGGACATAGGGACTGAGAGGGAATAGCCGAGCTCACAAGCTCACCCGCGAATCAAATCCGGGACCCCCTCTACTCTGGCCTGAAGAGTGTGAATTTGAGCCAAAACTGGGGGGGGGGGGGGGGGGGGGAGGAGGAAAGAAAAACTCTACATGAAGCTAGAAAAGAAATCCTTAAGGACAGGCGAAGAATATCCTCTTTCCTACCCTCACCATTATAAACATATTCAAGAAAAGAGGCATCCCTCATTAGAAAAGCACAAACACACACTTTACTCACCGAGCAGTATATACATTACTTCGCCAATGCTCCAGGACACCCCAGCTGCTCCCATTGCGGTGGATACCCGTCGAACCAGCATACATTCTGGGACTGCCCAGCAGCCCACCAGAGTTGACATGAATCCCCCTCTCAGTTATCCCACGACCTCACTCCAAGCGGCTGGGAGGAATGGTCCTCCCCTCCTCCAGAACTCCAGAAGTTGTGGTGGCCATCCCTCCTCGTTCATCACATTCAAACTATGATGGGTGACGGAGACCGGCACCGCTACATAGGCCCGGACCTGGGCTAAGATCGAAGAGCTTCCACTCTGCGGTTAAAATAAAGTTTTTTTTTTCTCTCCCTCTTTTATTCGCGAATCATAGGTGATTCGCAAAATTTGCAAAAATTAGCTCCTCGCGATACTTTGGTCGTTTAGAGTACGTGCCCAGGTATGTGTAAGTTTATATTGTCTGTGGTTGAGGGAACTGTTTTTAACGATGTTTTCTATCTATTTCATAACAGGTGCAGAGAAACACGACACCACACCCGAGTTTAAAGTGTCTGGCGGATCAAACGGCGGTGACTCCGTGGAATATTCATCGTCGCCACGTCAACCACCTATAACTAGAACAACTGCAGCCATGGCAATAACGACGACGCCAGCGGTGACGACAGAGGCATTAGCTATTAAAACGACGACGGTGCAAGGTAATTTTGAGAAAAGGACGCCTTTCATCAATAGCTGCTCACAGATAACAACGACTCCGGGGTCTCAAAACGGAAGTGTAGTCTATAGAACATGTGTGCGAATAAACAGAGAACAGAAAACACTCCCGTATAACACAAAAAAAGTTTCTGCGGGCAATTTTGTTTTCTTTTTTTCTTTTTAAACAAACGACCGTATTTTATGCTCGTATTTTGCAAATATTTCTCCGTTCAATGTCTGTTAGGGATGCCCGTACGGCTGAAAACCAATCAGTGCTTTTTTTTTTTAAAGCTTCACCGGCGCCTTCAAGGACCAAAACAAGGACAACTCCAACGCAACCTGGTAAGTGCCAAAAAAGAAAAGGATGTCTTCCACCGCAAGGTTTGAATATTTCCCAACTATTTTGGTGTCTCAAGACAGAAGAGTAGAGGATAGAGCAGATGACCGAATGAACAACAAAGAAAGTCGGGCAACAATTGGAGCATGGAATATTTTTGCAGCCTATGGATTAGTGTCTGCTCTGCTCCATGGAGGCCGCGATGTTTGAACTTGTTAACGCACTGACACAGTAGGAGGGCTGCGCTTTTTGGAAGACACCGTTTTTCTCAGAAACCTTTGCAAATATTTAGTCTGCGGTTGAGGGAACTCGGGTGAATATGCATTTCAGAAATGCATATTCACGGAGCTCCAAGAACAACACCGATCCCAAAAGTGCTATAAAAGGCAAAACTCTAGTTTCAAGCTCAGCCTCTCCTTCCAAGAGAGCCTGCATAGATTATTTCCCATTTTTATCGGAAGGGAGAAGGATTTAGGACGCAAGAATATGTTCGGACAAAAATGTGGGTGTTTCGCGTGCTCAAATCCTTAATATTTGTCGGTGAAATGTCTATTTGCGACGTCCGTACGGAAAATACCCACCAGGGGTTTCCTTTTGATATCCCCAGCGGCTACCACACCGAAAACTTCGACCCCACCTGCAAAATACCAAAGAATGACGTTTTTCACCAGAAGCTGCTCTTAAGTGAGGGGGACTCCCGGGTCTGAAAACTGAATATTAGAGTCTAGAACAGGTGGTCGAACACAAATCAAGCCAATGACGCAGTATTCTCAATCATATATTTGCTTGGAACACCCGTAAAATAGTGGGGCGTTCAAATCTTCATAACCAGATGTTAACTTCCAACAGTTAAGAAGATTGCGCATGCTTGTTTAACGCTCTTATCGTTTCGGTTCTCTATTGGTTCAGACAAAGGACGTAATAAACAAAAAAAAACTGTGTTCGAAATTCGGAACTTCTTTTACCTATTATGATCAAAATACATCGTAATTCTTATATTGTATGTTTAATCTGTTGCTAGAGTCCCACTCCCCTGTTCAAGCGACGCGATGTAAGTTAAAAAAAAATGAAGAGAAACGCTTTGCAGGCCGCTTTAGGTCCAGGCACAGCCGATGCTACGAGCGCGAGCATGTGGTCCCGAAAAGCGCTTGCACTGCACGAGCACGCGTGCTTGGCAAGGACGCTGAAAGCCGGAGCTCACTCCTTTTTGGCTTCAGCTGTGCTCACACTTAAAGTGAAACGGAATATTGTGTTGAGAACATCACGTTTGACATCAAACCTAAACTGTTTAACATGATTTGCACGTTACATCATCGCACTGTATGCTAGTGTTCATTGACATTCCTTTTCACTAAGAAAATAAAATCCCGTTGTGCAAAACGCATGCTGCAAAATGTTCGCGCTCAGTGCAACTCATGTATTCAGAACCAAAAATTATTCTTGCTTGGTGCAGCGTTGCGAGAAAAGGCACGAGCGTCTAGCACAACGAAATGAGCTTTCTGGCAAGAATGATTTTGTAAACGAAGTAGCTTTGCCGGATCACGATGTCTGGTCTGTGCGAACGATGCGGAGCAGAGGAACTTTTAGAAAACAGTATTGTTTTTAAAAATCTCCCCCGTTTTTTTTTTTTTTTTTTTTTTTTTTTTTTGGGGGGGGGGGGGGATGCTCCTCCAAAGAATACTTTTTATTTTTTGTTTCGGAGGGACTCTTTTATCTGTTTGGAGGTTACCAATTCGAAAATTGTATTTGTGTAATTTGTTCATAGTATTCGTTCATTTCTTTTATTTATAACCCAAAAACTGGACATTACAAAAATAAAAACTGCTAGACTCAAAGCGGCTGGCAACGTTCGGCAATCCCTCGGAAGAAACTGGAATCTTTCCTTTCAGTCGTGGAAATGGAGCGTGCTGGTTAAGTTACGGTGTTTGTGGAGAATATGTTCGTGTCGTCCGGTTT